AGATTACGGCATCCCTCTTCGCAATTGTAAAATATTGTGTTGGGTCCTAGCCTTAATATTTCGTTTTGGGTGTTATATTAAGGACTTAAATCAACTATCTTGAATTTCTCCCTTGTAGATGTCTAGTTCAGACAACTATAGTCTTCCCGAATCTTTTGGAAAAAGCTTTCCAAATGAAGATGATATTCCACAATATCATACTTCACTTCCTTCACCTCCTCCAATAATTCTCACTAACCCACATGTTCAAAGACTTGAAAAGTTCAAGGTCACTCAAGCCCTATTGGCTAACAAACACCAAGATGGAAGGTCAGTGTGTGCACATGTCTTGGAGATGAAGTCACACATTAACAGGCTGGGAATGTTAGGAGTCGTTGTGTCGAGGAAGTTGGTTGTTGACTTGGTTCTTCAGTCACTTCCCGAGTCATATAGTCAGTTCGTTAAAGACTACTATATGACAGACCGCGACATGTCCCTTATCGATCTTACATATTTGCTAATTGCTACTGAATCAACAATGACTTGGCACACTGGTAATGAAAATTTGATTCGAATATCTACTTCCCAAACTTCCATAGACATTGAAAATGGAAACATTGGAAGTCCAGAAAAGATTTCTCTTTCCGAGAGAAAGGGAAAGGCTAAGTCTGAGATTGTCATGTGTACCATTCCCAAAGAGTCCATTTGTTTCTATTGCCAAGAGAAGGGACATTTGTTGCGAAGCTGTCGTATCTACTTGAAGGACCATAAGGATGGTAAAGTCAAAAAGTTTGACTCAGCTTCACGTAAGTCCATTATCTAACTCTATTAAGTTCCTATTTGGAGATTCTTAATACATGATGTGACAGGGTCGCATTTTGATGTTTTGTAGGATCAAAGAAAAGAAAGGAAGCTTAAAAGAAGAGTGAGTTGAATCTGATCGTGAAAAGATGGATTTTGATCGTCTGATTCGATGATCGGATTTTTGAGCTGCTGCTTAGGAGTTATGATAGATTGCGTAGAAATTTGTAATAGCATAGTTTTCATATGTAATTGCATTGTAAGGAAATGTTTTTCCGCACCTTCTATAAATAAATAAAATTTTGACATTTTATCTTATTTATATTTCCTTGCAATGGCATTTGTGAAAATTGATGTTTGTATGTTTCTATTTTTAGCAATATGAATTTGATTCTTTCGTTTGTGGTAGTGTCTAAATTTACCAAATAAGGAAAGATTCTCATCACCCAAGTTTATGTTGGATAGAAACTTGGAATCATGCAACTTGTATTGTGTCATGAATGAGAACCTTCATCTTTGGGAAATTAAGACTAATTCCTTGTTCACATGTATATGTGAGTCAAGTGAAGGACTAGGGGATCGGGTACACTTGGTTGTGCGCTGGTCAAGTCCACCACAAAGAACGATAAGACTATTCATTATGGTTTACTAAAGTTAGTAAATATAGTTATGCTTACAAGATTAAGTATAATTCTGAGTCATTGATAAGTCTCAATGTATAGCAGAACGAATAAGAAGAATCAAAGTCGGCAGAAAGATAAAAGTTTTCCAGTCTGAAAAGACGGGAGAGTACTTGAGTATCGTGTTTTATGATTATCTTAATGATTATGAAAACCATATCACAATTTGATCCTCTAAGGACGCCTTAGTGCATTTGTTTGTCTAAGAAGAGGAATCATGAATTGTTGAAATGGTTAAATCAATTAAGATGAATCATACTTTGTTCCAAAATCAAATCTTAGAGTCATACTTCAAGATTATATATTGAGTGGCATATCAGCAAATGTAGAGTAAAATGTTTTCTACTCTTGTACATTTGAAATTTGTAAGTTGTGATGTTTTGGATAAAACAAAGACCAACTAAGACCAATGTTGTGAAGTGTTTGTCTTGATAAGAAACCGCACTAACTCTTGAATATTTGTTTGTCAAGTAATGTTTATTGACAAAGAGAAACTTATATGTCAAGAGGTTAGTGGGAGTCTTAAAGATCTTGAAAAGTTTCAAGAACTAATCAAGAGTAAACTTATTGTTAATCACTAGCACACGACTTGAGGTTTGTAACCTATCATGTTCACATATTGTCACACCCTCGGCCTCCGGCGGAAACGCCGAGGTGCGCGACGTAAATCAGTAATCACAGTTATTAAACATACATTGAACAGTAAAAATATAATCTTCTATTATTACCGAAATAGAAATTACATTGACAATGACTATTACTAAATCGTGACATACGGCTACAAATCCGGCGTTTACAAAGATATAATTTAACTAGCGGAGAGTCTTCTGAGCGAACACTTCTGACTTGCTAAATAACCTGAGAATACATGCATTAAAATACGTCAACAAAATTGTTGGTGAGTTCTACAGGTTTTGACACAGCGTATTGTTATACCCAAAAGTGTTTGATAAAATTTTAGTTGGTTGACCAGCTTTTATAAATTTTTACTTTTCTATTAAAAGTATAAAATAATTGAGTTATAACAATGTGTTACGACTCATTCATAAATACCATTTGTTCAAATCCAAATGTACAAAAGTTGGAAAATACATATAAGTAATTCTAACTTATATCAAAATGCATTTTTATATAAAGATTTTGAATATCAAATTATATAAAAATAGGAAATGTTACTCTTTGTGAGAACATAAAATAACCAACTTTACTCTTGAAACCTTATACAAGAATTTGTATCATTTATATGAAAAGCTCATAAGTATTGAATTTATGAACTTTGTAAAATCGTGTCGTGGCAATAATTAAGTATTATCTGACTTAATTTGAAAACCGACACTTAACCGGTGGGGAAAACTCCTCCCACATAAATATTGTGTTTTCTTATAAAAACAAATGGTTTATATAAATAACTTATTTTATGTAAGTTAATAAATCTTGTCGAGCCGTGTCATGATATTAATTAAGTGTTATCTGACTTAATTTTTGGTACTGACACTTATCGCTTTGAGTCACAAGCTATCCCACTAAATACAGTTTCTTTAAACTAGAATGAGTGAACATAAACCTCGTATAAATCCAATATCGATTCTATACGGTAACGAAACAAAACTGGGATTTTATAATGAAATCATAACCGAACTCGTGACACTGTACTTTATTAATGCACCGACACCATAATAAGGTGCGCGTGCTAAAGTCATTCACCCCGTTGTAACACGTGGTAATGTTCGATAATGCTAACGTCGGCGCCAAAATTCATCTCGTCAGATGTAGTTGTAGCTAGCAACTCTAGGCGGGCGGTCGTACCATATAAGATCAATAATATGACACTTACACCCGACGTTAGTTGTTCCCTCGAGGATTAACGGTTATATATTGGAGAGTTTCTCCTAAGTATTGAGATCTTAGCTTTCGCAAAACCCGAAATAGTTTATAATGGAAACTCAAACGTATCGGATCTGGTATTCGGAATAGGTATGATAAACCTATAGAATAGGTATGATGAACCTATATGGAATATGTATGATAAACCTATATGGAACATATGGAATAAGTATGATGAACCTATCTGGAATAGGTATGATAAACCTATATGGAGTAGGTATGATAAACCTGTATGGAATAGGTATGATAAACCTATCTAAAATAGGTATGATAAACCTATATGGAGTAGGTATGATAAACCTGTATGGAATAGGTATGATAAACCTATCTGGAATAGGTATGATAAACTATATGGAATAGGTAGGATAAACCTATAAGAAATAGGTATGATAAACCTATATGAAATAGGTATAATAAACCTATATAATCCATTCCAAATTCACTGGATATGTAACATTATTCACCGTTTAGGAAAACGATAACTGAAATTCATATAACTTCAAGAATTTATCATACTAGATACGGTTTCGATGTTTTGTTAGCATAATAGCTAATTTTTGAATTTATCCAAGTTTGGATCGACCGTAGATCTACATTCCCCATATTTTATATAAATTATGTGAGAATATTTTTAATACATTTAATTTGGAATAAAGATAAAGTCTTTAAACATAATACTCGACAAGTATTTCTTTCGTAAATAACGACTCTTAAGTCCTGAAGTCGATCATGTCATTTATTACGATAAGAATAAATAACTGATATAATGAAGTTATATTGTTATAATTAATATAAAAATATATTAATAACTTCTCAATTCATTTTTACATAATCTTATATATATATATTAAAAGTTAAATCTTAAAATTTTAACTAATAATTATATAATTTCATGAATTTAACCTTACATCATTTATGGCAATATACTTTCATTCTATACACGGATAATAGTTTTGGTCATTATGATATCATTCCATTCATGTGACTTATAATATCAACATGTGTTATTATAGCAATCTACTTATGATCTTAAGAATTTTCTCAATATCTATATTTATATTTCACGTAAAGTATAAATATATCATATTTTAACAATCTATTTTAACTTAATAGATTTATTGGTGATTTATCACACTTTTAGATTGTTATATCATAAACTTCTGACCAATAATAAAGTATGATGCTATTTTGTATATAAAACTTGAAAATCATCAAACTTTAATAGACACACACATATTCTCCCCCAAATATTAAAACCGTAAAAGAGGGGCCGTAGAAACTCACTTTCGTAGCGTGAACGAGGCTCGAGGTATGATTCTTGTCGTGAAATTTGCTACGTAACGTTCCTCGTTCTTAAAAAGCACCACCGGGTATGTTTAAATTACCTAATAAACCAAAGGGTATTTTTGGTATTAATTATTAAGTATACGGTGATCTTTGTTAAAATGATTAAACTGTAGTGATTGATTTTACCAAAATTATCCTCCAGGAACTAATCTTGCAAACTATTTACAAAACAGGGGATAAACATGTACATTTCAAACTGATTTGGGGCTTTTGGACTTAACTTGTTAGGTTTTACTGGAGAAGGGGTTGATTCTGTTTAAGTTGAATGTAAGTTTGACCTGCTTTGACCTTTGACTGAGTCAAAATCGAATGTGCGTTTATCACTTTGAAATCTCAGATGCAGATCGCCATTCAAGGGTCTTGCATCGGGTAGAAGGGACGAGTGACGACCGACGAATACACATCTCCGATGTTGGTTCGAAATAGAAGGGGGGGGGGGGAATCGAACGCAGGGCTCGATTAGGGGAGATATCAGTCGACCCTTCTTTGATTGGCAAAAGAGAAGAACAGATCGAAGGCGGTGAACAACAAGGTAGCTGACTGGTTGATGATTGTTTCGAAGGAAGAGGAGATCAACGGCAGCAACGCGTGACTAGGTAGGGGGAATCGATCCCAAAGAGTAATACAAGAGGTTGATTATCGAGAAACTATAAATGAGGGAAAAGGATCTTCGATCCTTAGTCTTCGTCTTTATCTGATCAGAGAGGAAAGACGAACAGAAGCAGCGAGAGGCAGATCAAGTGTGCTCCAGCGGTTCTTGGTTGCCTCATTTGTCCGACAGGAAACGCTAAGGAAAGGGGAGGGGTCCGGCGCTCCTTTGTTGGTAGAACCTCCGTCATCGACAATCATGGATCGAGTGAATGGGGTGTTCAATGGTCACGCAGCCACGAGGAGGGAAAGGCATCTCCGGTGCTTGGCTGGACCGAAAAGAAAAGGAATAAGAGAATGGAAGCAGCAGTTAACCACAGGTAACAAAGTTCTTTGCTTTTGCTTTTGTTTGTTCATGATAGAAATCAATGAGGGTACCAAATAGATGTTTTGGTTGTGGTGTGTGTTTGGTTTCAATGTTCAACAGGAGAAGAGGGAAACATGGGCAGTGATTAGGTGGTTTCTTTGAGTTCACAGGGGGTTTGGATTGTTGTTCACATCGACAGGAACAATGGAGGAAAGAGAGAGGTTGTTTCTTATTAGCTCACCGAGAAACCACAAGAGAACCACCTCCAATGGAGGTGTTCTTAGTTGTGCATCGAAACAGAAAGAAAGGAGGGAAGAAAGATAGACTGTGAGGTAAGACTGAGTGAATATTTGTGATCCAAAAATATATATTTAGAAGACTTTTGTGGTACTTTGTAATCTATAATTTGATCTCGAAAGTACATTGCAGTATTGGTTTCCATTTGTGCATGTGGGTGTTTGTGTGTGTGATGCATTGGTTATGTATTTGTTTAATTCTTCTCGTATTGTTGGCTCTTCTAACTTCATATACATATATGTATTTGTGTGTGTATTTGTTTTAGATTTTGAAGGCAATAATGCATATGCACAATACTTATACACTCTTATATCAAGGTTTATCATGTATGATGGTAAGATATATAAAGAGTTCCGGATTTGTATAGAGTAAATGTTCAAATTGTTATATATTCAATTAATTGGTATTTAAAATGATACATAACATACGTATAAATATGTATATATATTTAATGTTTTTATAGACTTTTAATTAGTTAACACATACACATTGTGTTTAACATAATTGTCTATTTATTATATGTAATATGGAGTTTTATAAGAACTTTAGCCACTACATATTATATTGTTTGAAAAATACGCTCTTCATACATATACGTACATAAATGTACATGATTTTTGAAATATTAAATTATTTTATCGTTAAGATTCGCAACCATCGAATTCGATTTCCAAACCATTTTCGACATGAATTACGAATAGTAGAAACCATGTCGAAGTCAAAATTTTAAGGTTTCATGCTCAACCAGGTACAATTTTATGGTTTTCATGCCATTGATTCCCTATTGTAAATTAACGTTTAAAATGAACTCGGATGAAAAATCATAACCCTTTCGGTTCATAATATATAAATTTTGAGCAATTAATCGTAATACCATTTAAACTTATTTAATAAACATTAGGATATCATACATTTGGTCTAGATTATAGCAACGCTTACGGTAACTGATCGTCAATACTTGACCCAATTTGTCAATTGTTACACATATTCTTGTTTCTGTGCCCATTCCAGTTAAAGTTAACTATGCATGTGAGTTCTATGAGCGCTCAATTGTTTGCATAACAACCTGGAAGCAATGGTTGGCCCTTGTGCTGCCAGGTGGCAAGAAATTAAGATTGAACAAGTTCAGTCCATATGAGTTTGGATTTGTCACTAACCTTGTCTTAAGATTATGGTTATGATAAATTCACATGGATAGGAACACATACACCATTAAAAATCTAAGTGTCATAAGGTTTCTCTCCAATTCATAAAAATGATTGTGAGGAAACACTTTCACTAAGTAGATTTTAAAGAGTTAGCAATTGTGATATTTGCATTCTCAAATTCGATTATGACTACGGCATCCCTCTTAATAGTTTGAAATGTGAGAAATGGAAAAAGGTCTAAACATTTGAGACTTACTGCAGTAAGTTCTAAAATTGTTTAGACACACATATGAGCTTTCTAATAAAAGGTGTGTGAGCTTAGATAAAGGATTATCGAAGCATCTCGTATCAGAAATCTGAACTTTGGTAAGAAAGTAAATAAGTATTGAGTTCTAGAAGTCCAGCTGATTTTGGATATATGTCAAAGCTAGTGGGAGTTAAAGTGTTATGCTAGTAAGATAATAACTATTATGCTAGTGGGAGCATAATTATTATGGTAAGTGTTGCAAGTTCGCGATGGTAATTATATAAAACAAAGTTTCAATTCGCAAAGTTGCAGGGTTGAAAAGTTGGTTTGCTATAATTAAGGGAGAGGAACTTATACTTCATTTTTCAATTCTAAAAGCTTAGATTGAGTTTTTTAATAAAATTTTGTCAAAGACATATATGAATGTTATGTTGAAAAGATTCGACATAAGGAAATTCTATATATGAAAATGTAAATTGCATTCTCAAAATTCGATTATGATTACGGCATTCCTCTTCATAGTTCGAATTGTGAGAACATGGCAAATAGAAATATTATAGCAAAAGACTGGTAAGTATCATGTATTTATGTAAGACATTATGAATCGTGTCCCATATGCTTCGGATATAGGGTCGATTGCGTATGCTATAATATTCGCGTGTTCTAATTTTCCAAATGCCTAGGGCATTAAGAAGGAAAAAGGACTAGAACAAGATATGACTAAAGTGGTTAAACAACTGTCAAGGACAATCTAAGGTTCGCTAAGGATTGGTTGCTTCTGGATAGTTGGAAGTATATTAATGAATGGACCATATTGATATAATTCTGAATAGATAGGATTCTGTTAAGAATGGATAGTCAGATGGGAATTATGGAAAAGTTTCCATAATGGGAGTTGGATATCAAGAATATATGAGTAAGTTAGAAACTTTTATGCAAAGAATGATGTTCAAAGGAATGTACTTCATCTCCATGGAATTGTCTTGTAACAATCTCCTCAAGTCTCTGTGACTTTTTGTACCTAGACATTACAAAAGGAATCTTTGCATAATAGTTTAGAACTAACACATTCTAATAGTGGGAAGAATTTGGTATTCTTACACTTAAAGATTTGGAATTGTGAAATGAGTTTAATTGAAAATCAAATTGATTTATTTCACAGAGTAAGGATCATAGATAAACATAGTGTGCATGCTTGGAGCATGGAATACCTATTGTTTTAATTCAAGTATTAAGTTGATCAATCGAAACATTATACAATGAATAATGTGTAATCAATATGGTGATTAAATAAAAGGTGTGTTATTTACGCTCAAAAGTTTTGGGGCCATATAGGACTAGTATTATTCTTGTGTTTCACTTTGCATGTTTTGACTTCCACAATAATAAGATTTATTCAAACTATTCACAGTCGATCATATGTTGGAAGTAAGTATGAAAGAAGACTATCATGAAGTGGCTTGTAGATTGTCTAAGGCGTTAGACATAAGAAGAGTTTGCTACACCATTCATGAGTGCTCTTGAAATAAGATTCGAGTACTGGATTCAACCCACGCTCACCTGAATTACTTCATGGAATTTATCACGAGTAATTGTGAGACGATAATATCATATAGTCTTCAAACCAAGATATATGAGTTGTTGACTACGAGTTGGTTGTGCATTGATGATACGAAAACGCATCACTAACTTGATGTTATAAAACATATCGTTGTGCATGACTTAATGAGTAGTTAGTACAAGCATATAATGTCGAAGTTTATCGGTTATTTTTATCCTAAGAGGATTAAAAGCGATATCTTGGGCCCCTCGATGATTCTGTTTTGACTATATTCCGGGCCCGATCAGAACTAAATTGATGTGTTCAATTATGTTCTATGTCAGACGAATCGGAAATCGGGAAAATTATTGCAGGGCAATAAGTATGACTATGTTCCATGTGTTTGTCCGCATAGATATCTTGAAAACATAGGAATATATGATCCCTTATCTGAAGGACGTGTCACTGACTAGGTCAGAGTTCGACAACGGCTTTTTAAAGCTTACGATTGCTTAGTCGGATCCTGAAGTCACATTGGCAGTTTTAGTTATTAGACTTATCCAAGTGGGAGACTGTTGGATTTGGTGTCTAAGCCCATAACAATAACTGGGATGTACTTGACCCGATTGTAGTATGGTCCTTTTTGGGTTGCCTTTACCAGTGCAATTTGATAGGATGGACTTTTGAGAATAAGGTTATTTATGGTTTATTAATATATTACAAGTTTAATCTATTAATATGAAATTATTTAATTAGTATTGATCAAGAATTAATTTGGAATTAATTTTGTGGTCAAAAGAGACAAATTAAATATATGGGGATTGATTATGTAAATCAATGATTCTTGTAGTGTGGGCCAATGATCCATGAATATTTAGATGGGCTAATCCAATGAGATGATCCTTGGATAGTCCATTGAGGTTAAATCCATGAAGCATTAGAATGTGAAAAGTCATGGGTTATTAGGGTTTACAAAGTGTAACCCTAGTATGTGCAACACTATATATAGAAACCCTCATGAACCAAAATCGGTTACACCTTCATTTTGAGCTAAGTAACTTATTCTCTTAAGCCACCATTTGCATATTGGTGTTTGTGAACCATTAGAGGCATCACACTTGAGGTGCTCAAGCTTTTAAAGGTCAAGAACTACAAGTCCTTCTAAAAGGTATGTCATCTAACTAGATGTTTTATTCAATTGTTCGATTGTATGCTAGTTAGGACAATGCTTTGCAAAATTGAAAATATGCATGTATAATTAGAGAAAACATAGATCCAAAGCAATTAGGGTTACATGTGCACCATAGGAGTGTTATAGTTCTCACAACCCAACACATTTTACTTACAATAGACCATAAATGGGTTGCCTTTGATGGATCCAAGCTTGAAACATCATTCCTTGCAACCAAAAGAACTTCCTTAATCTTTGTGCTTCATTAAAATATCATACAAATCATCCAAAATAGGAGAGAGGAGGGAGGATGGGGTCAAATGTTGAAGGTAGAGGCTAGGGTTTCTCCCAACGGGTCTTAGAGGTGGTGGAGACTGATAAAATGCCCAAAAATGTGAAACATTAAGCTTAATTACGTTGAAAACCGTAAAACCATGAGCTTGGGCCTGGCGGATCACCACCTCATGGTCCCGACTCACCATTCCGTGGTAACCACCACCTCGTGGTCCAAACTCACCACTCTGTGGTGACGGTTTTCGCCTAAATCCATTACAACTTCAAACAATCATAATGTCTTCTTTTTAACTCTGTTTTCGGCGACCTTTATATCCACGAAAAGGTATTAACGAGCCCCACACTTTAATCTAGTTAATTTTGAATTAACACACGTCGAACTAAATCCATAATCCATAAAGGAATCCCGAAACATCACTTTTCCCACTTTCCCCTTTGACTCCAAAACACAAAGTCAAGGCTTAGATTACATAATCCATATTATCAACATCCAATAGATTATAAACCTTATTCATTTGAAGCCCAAGGCCTTTACTTGATCTATTTATTGTCCACAATCCTGAAATAAGAAACTTCTCGAAACCGGATGTTACAACTCTCCCACACTTAAACAGGATTTCGTCCTCGAAATCCGTTTTGGTTAGAATCTCTGAAAAGAATGACAACATATCCCATAAGCTTCCTCTAACCACTTCAAAATAAAAGAATCTTATAATGAAAACTCGAGAGACCCCTCGGTATCCCATAACTGCCAACAAC